ATACTATAATATACATCCATTAACAAAAATTGAACTAGAACTCACACTGAAAATGTTTTGAGTTACTGTATTATTTTATTGTTTCACCGTTTTTCATTGGAAATGACAATGATATTTACAATTTATGAAAACTATACCAATATAGAAATGCAATTTATGACATGGCATTATTTACATAATTTCACAAAAATTTGTATCTTCAACCTCCCTTGGAGTCATAATTCACAATAAACTCATAAGTGTTTTCTCAAAATCAGATATTTTATATATGAATTATGTTCTTTAAGCTTTAAAATTATCCTATAGTGATATATGTGCTGATTTAAATATATACATTTGCATTTATAATCTTTATAAACAAAATAAGTAAATTTCTATGACCAGAGTGAGTGGTTCTTACTGAATGTATTATCTTCACATAAATAACTGCCACACTATTTGTACTATGGCTGAGCTCACAGATGTGATACTCAATATGATTAAGTAGTACACATTTCAATTATAAGGGATGAAGCAAGGATGTGTACTGAAACTTGGTAATGTGTATTTTTAAGAAATCACAAAGAATGGAAAGGAGGAAGACAATGGGAGATGTTCACATTCCTCTGGGTTGTGAAAATTAATAGTTTGCATGTTTATAAAGGCTTTACTTCTTTATAGAATATGAATACAGATCCAGCCTCTGCCTCAATATTAGAACATATGTAGTAAAATAAGGACAAGAATAAATCATTAAAATATGATTAGGGTCACTGTTTGATTTTGCATAATCAGTTTGACTATTGAATTATGCTAAAGCTCAGGATTCTTCTCTGTGTAATAGGTAGTTCACCAAAGGAAAAATAAGAGTCCGTTAAATCAAATTTGGGGAGTTGGTGGTTTTCTTCCTATTATCCCTGCAGTGAATGAAATTCTTAACTGGAGGTTCGATCAATGCTGATGCATCACTATTGACAACTCTTTGAGGGGTCTTTAACTCCCTATTTCAACAAGGTAATGAAAGTAAGTACTGAACATGATTTTCTTGGAGAGGCAGTCCACCATGGACCCTGCACAGCCTTGAGGAGTGTGCCAGATGGCCAGGTTTCTCTGTCTTCTGATACCGAACAGTTCTGTGCCTGGTTACATAGTCATCTAGTAGGTCAAGACAACTACAGTGAGAGCTGCTTACTCTCCAGGGGAAAGTAGACTCACTTATTTCCTGCTTGCTCTGGGGTAGGCTGTTTGCTTAAAACCCGTGGACTTTTGACCCTGAGTTTCTCAGCTATTCCAAAACTCACAGGAAAGTGGGGGGCCTGCACTGGGGTCCATCAAATCACTCCATAGACATGGTGGACAGGGTAACCAGTGCATAAATGCTGATACTCTACTAGCTATTCTGTACTTTTTTCCTCTCTGATCCAAGAGTTTCCTAAGTATCATGTTAGTTTGCAAGTAGGGTAAGATCTCAAACCCTTCACGAGTTCTGATATAATTGACTTCTTGACTATAAATTTTACCAAAATTTAATTTGAGCACAAAATATAAATATATGTCATTGTACAGTTCTGATTAAGTTTCAAACATCTTTTTAATATTTTTTCATGAATAACATTTCACCCGCCAGTTGGTACTATGGCTCAAAATACAATCATCTGGATGGCACTGTCTTTTTCATTATTGTAATTTTGCTAATCACCTTCTCCTTGTTTCTTATCTTTTCCCACATCTACATTTGTGAAATTTTGCTTTCCTCCTAAATTCCTAAACTCTCAGACTTTTTCACCTGTTAATGGTCAAAGTTTATTTTTGGTATTCTTAATAGAACTACTTCTCTCCAAATCAGCTATTCTATATGATTTACTCTTAATGTCTTTAATATGTATCCTAAAGCTTATTTATTACTTGCTTATTCCTACAGCTTCCTTCTTACACATTTACTATTTTTATTGGATCTATGATTTCTGCTGTACTGTGTTATCTACTTTATTGTGTTCTCTCTCTCATGGTAGATATTTTGCAGATTCGCTTTTTCTTTCTTGAAGTCAAGGCTAAAATCAAATTCGCTGTTTTGTAGAACTATGATTATATTAAACACCTTGCACCTAAGAATCAACATCAGAAGGTGTTTTCTCTAAGCATAAAATATGAAAATATTAATTGTAGATAACATGTATATCCTTACCATGTAGCAGAGGTTTTACATTTTTCTGAATAATAACTTCTATCCTTATAATCTCCACACATCTTTAAGTGAATTATACAGGCAGTACCTGGTAGAATTAGGATTTAAACTGGGGCAGACTGGCTCAAGTATTTAATCTCTTAACTATTAGGCTAGAAGGCATTGGTTTGACGAGTTAGTAAATTCAAAAATTGAATTCCAAGGTCAAATTTTTCTCATTACTCTTATGGAAGTAGCATCCAAATTAATAACTTGAAATTTGGGAACCTGTCTTCATTACAACCAAATTTTCACCAACATGCCACCAACAGAAGTACCTACTGGCAACATTGTTGTCACTACATACCTAAAATGTTCCTTATTATTATCCTTTGTGCTACTATCTTAGAAAAGAATGTTCCCTTCTGATATAAAATAGAAGGGTGTAGTGGACAGATGATAGGGAGTCTTCAACCATCTAAAATTTCTTGACTGACCTTGGACTAAGTTGCATTCCTTGGATTTTAGTTTCTTTCACCGAAAGTCTCAGATAATAACATGTACTTTATAGGGTTGTTGTGAGCTTTAAATGGCACTGCTATTTATGTAGTGCCATGTAAGCATTCAATAAATATTATTTCTTTCCCTTTCTTGTAAAGTATATCATGGATTGTTATTTAATATCCAACATCTGTTTCAATTTCACGCATCACTGCTCTTCGGTGTACAAAACGGGAAACTATAGTACATATTTATTAAATTACTACACAGAATATTAAGTTAAAGGCTAGATCCTTTATTGTAGTGAATTCCAAGGTGAATTCTTTGTAAGACAAATATTTTTTTTTGACAAGGGGAACCTTCTCTTTCATTTTCTGTTTTTTAAAATTATTGAATCAGCTTTAGTAGAAAAAGGCATATCAATAATAAATTTTCAATATTTGAAATTGAATTAATGAGAGCAACTTATTCCAGTGAAACAAACATATTTTTCAAGTGAAATACATAATTAAAATGAAGGATAGGCTTTATAATTTTATTTTTTATTACTCCCATAAATTTTTCATCCTCTTTTATTAAACAGAGCTTTGGTGGTAACTTCTAAATGTCCTAAGACAAAAATCCATGTCTTCCTTTTAACCTCAGAGTTTCTATTGAAATTAAACTACCCACATAGGCCAATAAAATCAAATGGCTTTTAATATAAATCTCTTAAAAATATAAAGAATAGGAATATTTTAATCTATTGGGATTTCAGAACTCTACATAGGTTAAGCTCTAGTGTGACAGAGTATTAGTCTACAGAATTAGATAATCATATCCTCATGATGTGATTCTCCTCTTCCCAAATTCACAAAATAGCTTGTCTACCATCAATATCTACCACATCAGAAAAGTATTAATCTAGAGAAAGTGGGGTACTGGAAAGAAAGAACATCTATGAAGTCAACTGAGGCCCAGAGAGTTAGTATAGTCTCAATCCCAAACAGCAATTCAATTTTCCATAAATAACAGAATAACTGTTTTACTTGGTCACAGATACTGATTTTAGAACTGAGAACTGGAATTTTATATAAGATAAGAGCAAGTGTATCACCTGGAAGTGTGAGTTGGGCTTTCACAAACTGGTTATCCATGTGTTAGTGACAACCTTGAATCAGCACAGATAGCATAATGACCCAGTCCAGCTGTCTCCTGCTTTTTTGCTGCCACTGGGTAGTAGATAAAGACAAGTAGCCTCAGAAATTTTCATTCATCCGTGGCCACAGCTGAGAAACAGGGGTGCCACATGTCTCCAAGAGATTTGAGAAAATTCCTTTTAGTCTGCCGGAATGTTGATCCAGAGACGAAGGGCTCTGGATCTTTGCCATTGCATAATATTGGGCTTCTACCTGGGATCTTTAGCTATACAGGAAAGTCACCATAATGCCACTTTGTTTCCATGTTAAGATTGCAAAAAAGCTCCATAATTTATTGGGTCACTGAATCTATCTCTGCTGATGGACAGCTCCATTGGACATCTCTCAAAGAAAAGGCAAAGCTTTTTGTAGCACAATCTCCAGCCAGAAAGGAGGAAAAAGCACATTTTGCAATTCATGATAGTATCAATTGTATGTTACATATTATATTTCCTACTACAAATACCACATATCTTTACTATGTATAGTGTGTAACATATTATATATTTACACATGGAATATATACTATATATCATACAATTTAATGTATGCAACATATTTTATGACACATATAATATGACATATATTATAAATTTCATATACACTAGACACTTGTATATGCATTTTAATTCATTTAATTTCTTACAATATTGTTACGAGTTAATAGCTATTGTCCAAATCTTACAGATGAAGATTGAAACTAGCTATGCAGAGCATATTATTCTTACTTCCTATGCCAAAAAATATTACAGTTAAAAATCTGAGATAAGGGTAAATACTATTACATCACATATAAATTTCTCTGATATTAGTTGTGTCAGGAATAACTAATGCCTAGATGCTAGTGGCACTCAGGTGACCTTAGCATGGCATTTAATCTTCAGGGCTACCCAACGCACCTTAATTTTCTGCCGCTTGGAGGCACTCTTGCACCATAACACAAAACTTTCTGGCTTTAAACTTGGTTTCTTATGAGCCTCAAAGGTTAGGACAGAGGCTTAAACCACACCACAACATTTGGAAATAATTTCTGCATACTTCTAAATCAATAATTCTGGTGAACAGAACCCATATTTTCTGGACTGGTGTCACTATTCAACTGTGTCCTAAATAGGGAAACAACGAAAAGATTCCAAGTTCTTCAAGTTAAGAAAATTCTACCCCTTTCTCCCTTCCAGACAAATGCTAGTATGCAGCCTAGAGCCTGGAAACAGGAATTTAGGCTGAGCCCTGGATGTGGTGGTGGTGCCTGCCTGCAGACTGTGGCGCCGGCGGCCTGAGATGACTGTATGCTTGACTGAAGCAAAACGGATAGGAAGTCCAAACAAGGAATCCATCCGAAGAGCCTGGACTTAAATGTAGAGGCAATGCATAAAGTAAGATATCAGAAACCTCACACCTTCGATGGCTTTGATGGGAGAGTGGGAAATCGAACCCAGTGGGCATCCTGGAAGGACTATAGCTGAAGGACATTTTTCCCCATCTCACTGGCTGCAGATGGTGAGCGAGCAGTTAGGGAGCTAATGTAGCTGAAACAGAATTAGAACTATGATTAACAATTGTAAAAACAATTCAAGTTTTAGTGTTATTAATACTATACACACGTATAATGTAGGAAAATTAACTTTAACATATTATTCATATGAAATCATTTTTAGAATCATATACAACTAAAACTCAGTATTATACCAAAATGCACTTATTTTTTAGTAAAAAGTTACCTTATTAAAGTTAATGTGGCATACCTATGTATTATATGCAAAAACACTAGAATAACATTCTTTTGCTCTTGGTGTTGTCACCACCTGACTTCGAGTTGCCCAATTTGGCCCCACTGAAAACGTTTTATAATATTTTAACTATAAAATGCACTTGGGATCTCTGACCTCCTGGTGGCTTTAAATACTGTGGTTTCCAAAAAAAGGCACACCCACAATAAAATACATTTTTTAATTGATGGGAGATTGTATCTCCTTTAAATGAAATAGAAGGAAGAGTATTGTTCTTAAAATGTTTGATATAGTGATTTCTCGTAATTGTTTTTCCTCCCGCTGTAAGAACATAGCTTAACAACTGTGATGTTTGATGAAAACTGAAGATTTTTTTAAGTCAAAAATAAATAAATTGGAGTGGTTACTCAGAGCTACAACAGCTGTGTTTTGATGTTTACAAGCACAGATGTTAGATGTTTCCAGATGGAAACAAGGTTGTCAGTCTTCAATTTCCTCGAAAAAGAACTATATAATGATGATAGTTAAAAACCAGTCTCATAGTTTTTCCATGATGCTAGTCATGAAATGCTACAGTTTGCTTGCAATATATGTCTAATGTAGCTCTCTGGTGGTATATTTGGTTCAAACATTTGAAATGGTCTATCCGTTTGATATTATTCCATATCAAATACTGACAAGAATGTTCACAGCAGTGTTTCAATTAACGTCACCATTAAAAAACAAAATCTTGGATGTTACCTAGTTAGGTTATGGCCATGGGACTTAAAATATTAGCAAATAGAATGTGAGAACTCCAAGAACTTCACATATTTGAGTGATTATGTCAAACTCCTCAATATTTGACTAGACTGTTTTTATAAATGGTAATAGTGGGTAATACTTATTGCACTTTACTTTGTGCTCAGCAGTATGTTGAATATTTTATAAACAATTCTATTTCATATGCAAATCTTGCAACCATACTATGAGGAAGCTACTGTTATCCTCATTTTCCAGGTGAATAATTGAGGTTTAGGGACGTTGTATAACTTTTCAAACTTCATAACAACCAAGCACATGATGCACTGAGTTTCAGATCCAGAAATCCTGATTCCTCTGCCCAAGTTCTTTTTTTTTTTTTTTTCAACGTTTATTTATTTTTGGGACAGAGAGAGACAGAGCATGAACGGGGGAGGGGCAGAGAGAGAGGGAGACACAGAATCGGAAACAGGCTCCAGGCTCTGAGCCATCAGCCCAGAGCCTGACCCGGGGCTCGAACTCACGGACCGCGAGATCGTGACCTGGCTGAAGTCAGACGCCCAACCGACTGCGCCACCCAGGCGCCCCTGCTCCGCCCAAGTTCTTAACCAATATCCCTCCAACCTCCAATTATGCTATGTTTGTGCCAAATATGATCCTACTTCATAATCAACCCAACTGTAGGAGAAAAATAATATTTTTCTAAATCATTAAAGAGAGGAAACTAAAACATAGAAATGATAGATTAAGAATAACAAAGATCATGTCAATGTTCCAGAACCAAAGGTTCTAAAAGTCCTCCTTTCAAGCACTCTAACGCTGTAAGTTAAGAGTCCCAGAGGTCTCCATCATTTTCTGTTTCCATATTAACAAGGAAAACCCCTTTTTAACACAAATAGGTGGCCAGACATGCTTAGTCTCCTTTGACCTACCCTCAGAATACCCAGAAGCTAAATCATTGATCAAATATTAAGGTAAAATGAAGATATTTTAGATATAAAATTCTCCAAATTTACCTGCTGTGCATTGTTTTTTGCTTTTCAGTTTCTTTATTTCAGCTTTCTTGAGATATATTTGACAAATAAAATTATAACATATTTAAAGTTTACAACATGATGATTTCATGTATCCATACACTATCAAAGGATTTTCTCTAGAGAGTTAATTAACATGTCCAACACTTCATCTATTTCCCTTGTATTTTTTTAAAGACTTTACACATAAGCAATACCATGCAGTATTTATCTTCCCCTGTCTGATTTATTTCACCTAGCATAATGCCCACCAGGTTAATCCATGTTGTCACAAATGGAAAGATAGTCTTCTTTTTTAAGGCTGAATAACATTTCATTACATATGTATGTGTGTATATATATATATATTTTTTTCCTTCATTGGTATATTCATAAACAGATCCTTAGGTTATACCATACCTGTCATGAACAATTGAGTAGGAACAGGGGAGTAGAGATATCTCTTCAACATAAGAGATGTCTCTTCAAGACATTTTGTTTCCTTTAGATGTAATACACGAACGAAGTGACATTGCAGGATCACATAGCAATTCTATTATACTTTCTTGAAGAACCTCCATACTGCTTTCCAGAGTGGTGGTACCAATTGACATTCCTATTAACAGTGTATAAGAATTCTTTTTCTTCATCCTTGCCAACATTTGTTATCTATTATCTTTCTGATTATAACCATCCTAATAGGTAAGAGGTGATAGCCCATTGTGGTTTCAATATGCATTTCCCTGATGAGTCATGATGTTGAACACCTTTCATATACCTGCTGACATTTGTCAATATCTGACCTTTTTGAAGAGGCTAATTCTTTTTTTTTTTAAATTTTTTAATGTTTATTTATTTTTGAGACAGAGAGAGACAGAGCATGAACGGGGGAGGGTCAGAGAGAGAGGGAGACACAGAATCTGAAGCAGGCTCCAGGCTCTGAGCTGTCAGCACAGAGCCCGACGTGGGGCTCGAACTCACAGACCGTGAGATCATGACCTGAGCTGAAGTCAGACGCTCAACCGACTGAGCCACCCAGGTGCCCCGAAGAGGCTAATTCTTAAAATAAACATAAAGGAACTATCTAATCTTTGGATCAGAAAACTTTATACAGGTATATTTGAGGTACTAATCTAGAACTTTTTTGAATAATTATATGGTGCATATCTTCACCACATTCTAATTACCAAAAGCTACATTATTAAGTAGGAAAATGATAACAACAGAGAAAACAAATATTCCAGAGTATTCTTTGAGTTACGTATTAGCTTTATAGTGCCATTGGAAAATATTGAGGTTGCTAATAACACAAAGCAAAAACACTACTCATGTTTAAATCCCCAGGGTTTCACTGAATGTTCAGAAATACAGAAAAATGAACACAGCCTTATTAGAATTTCCTGATGATATTGGTTGTTCCTTTATCCCTTATGAAAATAAAGAAAGATTGGTAAGAATTTTTTTAGCATTCATACTTTCAATATTAATTCCTACAAGGTTTGTATCTGTTAACAGGTATGACCCAAGAACTCAAGTGTAAGACCTTAACCTTGGGCATATTATAAGAATAAGAGACCCAATACTGGGCAATAAGTGAAATAACTTTTTAACTTACTTTGAATATCATGAGTATCAAAGGCTAAGAATGTTCAATAGAAAGCTTAAATACCCAACATTTGGAGTTAACTATATTCTTGTACTAAACAATTTTCAATAACAATGGATAAATATTTGATTATATTTGAACTCATGGAGAAACCAGTTACTTCATACTCTAGGTAAATAGCACCCCCTAGAAATGTGGCATTTCCAACTTGCACAGCTATATTTGGCACCCTTTTATGTAGGAATGTCAGTAATAAGAGAGTAGGCAAAAGTGAAGTCTCTTTTGTATTTACGTGGAAGACACTGTAACAGATGATAGGATAAAAGGAAAGGATTGGGGGCGCCTGGGTGGCTCAGTCGGTTAAGCGTCTGACTTCGGCTCAGGTCACAATCTCGCGGTATGTGAGTTCGAGCCCCGCATCGGGCTCTGTGCTGACTGCTCAGAGCCTGGAGCCTGTTTCAGATTCTGTGTCTCCCTCTCTCTCTGACCCTCCCCCGTTCATGCTCTGTCTCTTTCTGTCTCAAAAATAAATAAACGTTAAAAAAAAATTAAAAAAAAATAAAAATAAAAAATAAAAAAAAAAGGAAAGGATTGTTCGAGGAAGCATTAATATTAAGAGCAGTATTCCTGAAAGGTATGTTTTATTAAAATAAGTTCCCACACCACAGACAGCCTTTATAATACTTGTATTACAGCATGCAAAAGGTAAATGAAAGATGAAAGCCAAACCAGAGAACATAAGGTGATGACACAGAAGCTCTGATAATTTCTGGAAGTATGGAGCTGGAGATTTCTTGAACTCATGTAAGCACACACGTGTGTGCACTTGTGTGTTTGTGTGGTTTGTCTCACGTGTCGCCCATTCTTATTCTGTTAAAAAAATGCCAACCATGTCTCGAATTCAGGAGATGAACAGGATCCAAACTAGAATACCTGATTCATTCTCCAAGGTTTAGTGAGTACAACTAGTGGGAAAGGTTTTTCCTGACAGGCCATGAAATTGTTAGTGTGAATTCAGAACTACCAGCAACATATCCTAATGCAGATAGCCTTGACTGCTCTAAAATACAGCTAAAATAACCTAGGAAGGAAATCATAAAAGACTAATGCAGAGAGAATCCTGAAGACATTCAGTTTTCCAGTTCTATTCAACCTCAGTATCACCTTTGCCCTTCCTGGATATGTGAACCAATAAATCTCATTTTGAACTTGAGCTAGTTTGCATCGACTTTCTGTCAGGTACTACTAGAGAATAGTGGCTATTACAGAGGACTTAATTCAGTGGTTGGAAACTATGCCTCTGGCTCTATAGGCTTTCAAGGAAAGTACATGTGTGTACGGGTGTGGGGAGGTTGGGGAATGGGGTTGCTTCTTGCTAGCTCTTAGGCCCAGAGAGCTGGGGAAAATATAAGTGACCCAGAAAACCAAAAGATTATATGCAAACATATTAGAGCTAAAAAGAAAACCATACCGAGCTTCCTATGGTTGCAGAAAATTACAGAAATCTCAGGAAGAGGCAAAGGGGTGTGGCACTCACAAAAATAAAATCATGTCAGGTGAATGTTCTAACCCTAAAACCACATGGCTTGGTGAAGCACATAGTATTGGTGTTGAGTAGTGGTGTTGGTGGATATCAAGTAATTGCACTTGGAAACTTTTTTCTGGAGGCTACTATTGAAACCACATTTCATTATAATAATTGTGTGGATTGATATTATTCATTCCGAGTAGAGAAATCTGTATGTATCTTGATTACATGATATTTGTAAACTTGAAGTTTTGTGAATTACTTTTATAAATTTGCATATGTGATTATAAAAGAACCCACACATTCAGCACTAGTTCAGAACTAGCACTTAGTCTTAGACCCAAGTAGAATAAAATGGATGACCACACTAATAACACAACTCTGATATATGTAAACTATTTCCCCAGGCAGGTAGACATGAAGTTGGTCAGATTTTCATGATCTACATCCTTTATGCAGAAGCTAAAATAATGGTAGGACCCATTGTTTATATGTTACAAAGTGCTGAAATTGTGTTAATCCAATTCCTAATAAAAGTTAGAACGCTAACTCTTCTAGACGTCTCTCCAAATTATATGGGACCTAATATTATCATAAAGGGGAAGAATAGAAATTATCAAAATATACACCTCTTCAAGAGTTACCCGCTTGACAATTAAAAAATAATTTTGCTATTTCAATGCTTATCACAGTATACTTATGAAAATCTACTGCAGGATTAGAAAGTCTCATAATGTCTTTGTCAAAAATTTGTGGAGCAGGAATTTCAGACTAACAGAATGAGGGAAATACAACATTATAAGAGTTAAAGGCTGAGAATTTTTCAGAACTTAATGAAGATGTGACTGCTTATATTTCTATCACACATAGGATCCTGAGCAGGAACTCTGAGCTAGGGCTAATGCAAGAACAACAACAGTGCTAGAGTATAGAGTTATAAACTCACATATAACACATATTTTAAAATAATAATAAATATAAGCATAATAGAGTTGTGGAGATAGTCTCCTATATCTAGACATTTTACCCTCTCTGAACCCACCCACATATCTCATTTTCTTTATTTTTAAATATTTAATGTTTATTTATTCTTGAGAGAGAGAGACAGAGAGAGAGAACATAAGCAGGGGAGAAGCAGAGCAAGAGAAGGACACAGAATCCAAAGCAGGCTCCAGTCTCTGAGCTGTCAGCACAGAGCCCGACACAGGGCTTGAACTCACAAGCCGTGAGATCATGACTTGAGCCGAAGTCAGATGCTCAACCCACTTAGCCACCCAGGCGCTCCCACACATGTCATTTTCAACAGCTTTTATCTAGTTTTCTGCAACTGGTCTCCCTGCCTATATTCTGATTAACCACATATCCATTTTCTACTAAACACCAGGAATAATCTAGCTAATAAACAAGTATAATAGAGCTCACTCCTGTGATTTCACATAACCTTGAAAAATAAATGTCCAAAGTCTCTACACAGTGTATTAGATCGTTTATGCCTGTCCATACTCATATCCCTATTTGTACTATTTATACTTGAGCTGTACTTAAATCCTAATGTTTCTTGGTCTCTAGACCATGTAATCTCCAGCCTCTTTCTGTTTTCAAGTATTCTTGCCATGGCCAGGACATACCACTATAGTGCCCTCTCCCACCTGCAACTCCACACCCCACCCCATCCTTGCCACACACAGAGCTGTCTCTGTTCAGATATGTAAATAACCAAGAAGCACATGGCAGGCTTAGAAGGTACTCTCATTGTTTTGATGCTACCATGAGAACATCCCTTCCATAATATTTATGAAAAATGGCAGTGCCCTTTGTCTACCTCTCTAACCTGAAGGCCTTTTGGAAAAGGGATTTTTATCAAATATATTTGTATTGATTTTAGTATTTTGAGTGTTTAAAACAGTCGACTACATGCTCAAAAGTCATATATGAACAAACAAAGGAGCGTATCTTCTTATTTGCTCATATTTGTTTATGCACCAATATCCAATCGTACCTTAATTCATTTAGCAGATATCATTAAAAGTGTGATCTGAAAACAATCTCTATTAATGTGAAATCTGGTACAGTGATATGAAAGTGTTCCAAATGATGTGAGAGGAACTCATGTATTGAAACTCTTCTAAGGTCTGTTGATGTTTTTACTCATAAAACATTACATAAGGATGCATTATTTAACATTTCTGAATCTCAATTTATTGCTATGCAAAATGTATATGCTCATAAATGTCTAACTTATTATTTTGAGAATTAAATGTGAAACATATGTTCAAGTTACTATCTTACTGGCTGACAAATTTATGTGCAAATAAATACCATTCTCCTTTCTTGGTTGAAATGCATATATCCAGATGTCTCCTCATCTCAAAGAAATAAAACTTCATGAAGGAATGCGATGGAGTGATATGGCAGAACACTCCTGCCACAGCCTCAATACTAGGTCAGCTCTATTTACCATTGAAATTTTAGTGAGACAATATATTTATTCATATTTTATATTGGTTTCAAGAGAACAGAGTAATATATCACAAATATTTAGAATGGAAAACCATCAGTTTCCTCTAAAGAATTATATTCATTTGTGGTAAACATTAAGCTGCTCTCTCTCTCCTTCCTTGCCAACTAAAGCCCAGTTTCATTTAGGGTCACTAATTCCCTCACCACAGGGATATATCTTGATGAATCTTGAGCAATTATAGTAAGCCCATTCTCCTCTACCAGATATTCATGTATCCACTTTCCCTTATAGCCAGGGGTGGCCACGTGACCAAGTTCTGGCAAATACAGCATAAAGGGAAATCTGCAGGGCATAGAGAGTGGTTTGTAGGAAGTTATTGCTTTCTGATAGCAGACATATCATGAGGATAACTAATTTCTGCAGTCCACTTTTTTTCTTCTCTTTGAACACGATGTAAGGATGCAATAACAGAGGATAATTACAATTTTCATGTGATCGTGAAATAATAGAACAAATTTCAAGTCTCTGAGGATTTCAGAATAAACACATACGGGGTGTCTGGTACCTTAACTATTTCACAAGGCTGCTGCATCCAAACTACAAACAACTGCCTGCAAATTTTATGTGAGTGAAGGGTAGGAAAATGTGCCTCCCACCCCCAGAATGTGCTGCTTGGGTGTACTGATTATTTTGAGCTGTAGGCACTTAAAAAAATGGAGCAAATGGCTTTCTCTGAATTCCCCTTATCTGCCTAAAAACAGATCCTCCGAAAGAAACTAAGTTGTCATAAATCCCCTCCTCAAGAGTTTCATCAACCAGGGAAGATTGACTCTCCTCATAGTCAGCTTCTAGGATACCAGAAATGGACACCACACTTAGACAGACATTGTCACAAGCCATCATATCTCCCATCTGCTTTTCTGAGGGCGATTTGTGTCTCTTAAAAATCATTTACTCTCCCCCAAGGGGTCTATGTACATCTCCCACACCCCTGTCCTTATTAAGATGATATTTAAACTTAAATGTAAGTCACTTCAGAGAGTTACACCTGTTCTTTCCTGGATATTGACCGTGTATACATTAGGTGTACATGTTAACAATCTTCTGTTTGCTTTTCTCTTGTTAATCTGGTTTTATTATAGGTTTCACAGCTAAGAATTCAAAAGAGTGAGGGAAAACTGTTTTTCCTTCCCTACATGAGAAAATCATGAGTTTCTGTTACTCAGTTCTTCTGTGACTTGTGATTAAAGCATTCCTGCCTGGTATTACATCCAAATAAAGATAACCCTGAAGTAGAAAAAGAATGGGGTATGACACCAGTGTTGCAGTACTGTCCTGAAGAATGTGAGGGTAACGTGGATTGCAAACTCCATAGCTTCTGAAAAATCTTGTGTATGAGTTAAATTGACAAAGTTATATAAAAATGGATTAATGCTGACAAATTGGGTGTATCCAAAGTCTGTTGTATGCTTGACTTCCTGCTTATTTCCATAGAGTTGATATTGCTTATTGCTCTTAAGAAACGAATTCTTGGAGTTTGGGGAGACTGGAAAAATTTTAATAAAATGATAATACGATTATCAAAACATTGGTTCATATTCTGTTTTCATTTTCATTTTATTTCCTGTTCATGTAATGTCTTGTGGACTTTGCGTGTATGTGTGTTTGTGTCTGTGTGTGTGGCTGATTGATACCTCATAGCTTTCAAAAACACACTAAACCTTGAAATAACTTCCAACCCCATTCTCCACATATGCCAGGCCTCCTAATTCTTATAAAAGATACATTTTCAGGGAAAAATACATGTACTCTTTCATGCTAGTGGACAAATGATTTGTAAATGTGCCCATCAGTTTTCATTTCTAGCAATGTGTAATTTGAGTAAATGATTTAATGGAATCCAAGTATTTGTCACAAGGAATGAAGAGATTTTTTTAAACAAAGATGGCCTACCTGTTACCTTTAAAATAATTCTTAGGTGTCAGCTTACTCATGAGGAAAGCCATGCCTGAAGCAGGTGTCTAACTATGTCATAAAGTAACTGTCATGGCAGGAGGATGAAAGATGAAAACTACTAAACATTTTGGATAATGATTCAAAAAACCTGAAGAAGAACAGATAATCCCAGAGCATGATAACTTCTGAAAATAGTTTAAAAATGTATGAAACTGTTGCTTCTGCATAATTTCAACACCTTTTGAAGTAACACAATCAAAGGGGCACAGTTCTTCCAGATTAAACATATTTTATTGATTTTTATCTTCAATGGAGTGAATGCTACTGAG